TTCTACAAAAATGACGCTAAAAATACACAAGTAAATGACTCCATAAAAAACACCAATGGAAAACAAAGAAGATTTTTACATAAAGAACCAACCAGGGAAAGCAGAGCTGCCGTCCTCGAACATACAAATCTGGTCATATAAATTCTGCATGTTTTCCTTAAATACTGCATGCGACTGTTTTTCTTCTTTTATGGATACGCTTCTAGAATTCTGAAGTATTGATTCAATGCGAGTTTTAAGGTTTATTGCAACGGTGTCCAGGATCTGTTCAGTTATCTCATCCAGAAGTTCTAGAGGAAAGTTTCCCAAAGCTTCTAAATTCTGCTTGATGTCCTCAAAATCAACGGAAGCAGGACCTGGTTCTGAAAAACCAGAGTTTCGTTAAAAAAGTACGTCATTCTACTTTAATGCATAACGAAGCTTAAATGCAGTGATGTAAACAATAGAATCATCTAATGAAAAGTGGCAAAAAGCATTCTGAAATACAAACTGCAAAAAAAAAAAATTTAACCTGAATCAATGACATCCTTCGCTGATTGCCTTCCTGCTCTTCCCCTCCCACCTTTACTTCTTTTACTCTTTGGGACCTCAGACTCACTATCCAGTTTTTGCTGCAATAAAAATGAATATTAAAGAGTAACCTAAAAAAAACCCTCTCCTAATTTCCGCAACACTGTTAAGTTCGGCAAATAGAACAACTGCAATGAAACTGCTCCTAAATCGTTACAATCAAAAACTTAGTTAATACTCTTTCTGCTTTTGTCATAAGTTTCGACTTCCTCTCCCACAAGACTGCTTCCGTTGCAGCCTTTTCAGAAATGTACTTGTCCAGAGCCCTCAGTGCTTGGACCAAAAGCTGTTGTTCGTAGATCATATTGAGACCAGAGACAGACCGCCAATCCTGAGATGCCCACAGCGTGTTACAACATACAAAACAAAAAAAGCATTCTGAATACTATTAAAGAAACAAACTTTATTGGTATGAAGGCACATCGAAATCGCCTTTTCCACATCTTCATCAGTGGAAAAAGATGGAGGCAGATGAGCGTACACATCAGCAAAATGCTGTTTTTTCATCTAAAGGATGAACTATACTAGAAAGAAATTAAGTTCTTAACACTACCTTAAATTCTTTATAAATTCAATAACCAAAAGAAGTTAATAATATGACCAACGACAACTAAACAATGTAAAATGCACAAAAATCCAAAAAAATGTTTTTACACGTTTTCTTCCTAAACGTGAGGGGAAATCACTGTTTATCTAAAAATTTTCTAAAAGCCAATCGATTTATCTCCATCGCTAAAAAGCAAAATTTCCTAGCTTTGTAAACCAGTTAACAAATACAATTTTCAAAACAAACTTCTTCCGTCACTTCATCCACGATATTACCCCATCGAGATTCCGAAACAATAACCGACGGAAAAAAAATCAATGAAGAATATTCATCTTGAGAGAAAACCTCTTTTAGCATCCCAACTGGATCCGATACTGCGAGTTTACTGAAGGTCGAGACTTCTAAATTTTTTAGGCTTAGTCATTGGAAAAATGTCAGTAAAGTGTTTATTAATTAAGTCCGACCAAAAAAGATTTTTATAAACGTGGTTCATGATTTATAGAAAGGATGAGGGTAATGAAGTACCTAACAAGTTTTCTCTTTCGAAAGTCTTCTTTACAAAGGATTTGACTAAATAAGTGTACAAGACTGGAACAAAATAGGCATGATAGGACGAACGACCTCCTTGAACAGTCCCAAATATCTTTAAAAGTTCAATACAAACCAAAATATTTTAAAAGAAACGCTCACAGAAGTGTGAAACAAACCTCTTGCTCTGCGGAAAGCTCATCATAAAGTCGCCAAAAAAGTGGCATAGATAAATTCAAATAGGGCATAATTCGCGATATGGAAGTCACTCTGAAATTCACACGCTGTTTTTCAAAGTGCGTGAAAAAATCTTAGTAAAAACTAATAATAATTAGAGAAGACTAACAGATGAGGTAGAAAGAAATAACTCTTCATACCTTGTCAAAGAATTTAATACTGCCCGAAGAAGATTTTTTTGGCTCTTAAGATACGTTTTTGTGTAGATCTTATCTCCATCTTGTATGGCATCTATATTTGCGCTTATTTCCTTCAGAACAAGATTATTTAGAATTTCTGAAGGAAGATCCCACGTTTTTGCGATTTGGGAGATAGACAGAACACCAGAAGACTGGAGAGTTTCATTCATCTTCTTGTAAAGACTATGCACATAATCTCTGGAAACTAATTACTTTTTAGGTTCAAACCGGTTAAGATAAATTTGGAAGAATACTTAAAATACAGATACTTGTTAAAGACGCTAAGCTGTAAAAAGAAAGCAAACTTAGAGATGAGCTCTGCATTGCAGAGCTCAAATGAATTTGTCTGCTTCAAAATCGACTGTACTGCTTCCTCGATATGCTCATAATTGACATTTAACGTGTGAGCGAGTTCTGACAAAGAAACTCTACCGCCTGGAAACTGCGATCCTCAATAGCAAGCAAATAGTATTCAACAAAGTGAAAACCATCAATTTCAAAACAAGTACCATTTCCAATACATTCGTTCTTTACTTCTGTTACAAGGTGTTTTTTTGTTAGATACTCACGCCCGTCCACAGTAAACACAATATCAATTTCTTTAGCAGCCAATAACATAGAGACGACCTCCACGCAATTCTTTTCTGATAACCTGAATTTTTTGGAGTCAGACATTTGAAGGTTTTAATTCAAAAAAACATTCTGTGAACAGCAAATGAAGGCAGTATTACAAGTAAAAAAACTTGAGAAATATCTGAAAACCCCGTTGCTTCATCCTTCTTCAAGTTACTCCCCCAATTAAAAAAGCTAACCAGACAAGGTTCAGATCAAAGTAAAAAGAATAACCTTTTTGCTCCCCCAGCAAGCTGAACTCTTTGCAAATCCGCCGCTAATTTCTGGATATCTGCCCACGTAGCAGCCATTTTCCGGCAGTTATTATAAATCTGCCAAAAAAAAGAATAGCCCTACTACACTTGAAAACTGAATTTTGAAGAAAAATAGTTATAAGCTAAATTGCAACTCTGAAGAAATAGTCGGAGAAATGAATCAAAAATAGTTTTATTGTACAACACCAATAGTAAGTATCAGTATCACCAAAATATATACCAGATGCACTATTAAGACAGCAATAATCTTTATTAGCAAATCGCCCAGATGATAAGCTACTATTAAAAACTTATACTTTCAAAAAATAAACTGGAATTAATCTAAACGCAAAAGTGATAAAATTATATCACAGACTCAACACAGTTAAAATTCCTTTATCTGAAAATAACGATAAAATTAATCACAAAGGAGGAAATGAAATAATAGAGAACCAAACAAACAAAAACTGCGGAGAAAATTGATATTTGAAATAGGACTGAACAATGCAAGAATGCGAGGCAACAATAATACTACAGGAATATATTCCTGTGACAACAACTTTTAGAAATAAATAACATTTAATAACTCGTATTAAAAACCATAAATGGCTCCTTAAACTTTTTTTGAGTATTACAGATTCAGCTGCTCATTTACCCTACAAGTAAATAGCTTTAAAAAAATATAAAAAATGAACTATTACTCTGCGCTATTTACATCAGTAATGAGCGATAACGTATCAGCTTTCTGTCCCCCAGTAGATCCGTTTGACCGCGATATCAAAAGGTCTAATTTAGTAAAGTCCAAGTCGAAGACCGTAGCTTCGTTTTTGAAGTGCATAAGGTCGAGGAATAACTGAGTACGAATTTTCCCCTCATCCGAATCGGCACTGCTACTCTCGCCGCCTCCTGCGAAAGTACCTTTCCGCTTGAATCGTTGCAAACTCGTGCCAGTTTGCTCAACTGACTCTATAACCTTGAAAACAAAAAATTTTAGCGCTGGTGCTTGCTCACACTTCAAGGATAAAAAACAAGCTTCAGAGACGCTAAACAAAGGCAAGTAGCAAAAAGAATAGAAATTATAAGACACCTGCTCAGCCTTGCAGCAAAATCCTTCTAACGTTTTACTCATAATACTGGAAGAGAGGCTGGCAATCTCTTCATCACTCCAACCACGAGAAAGTGCTTCCGTCTTGAAACAAGAAAAATATGATAAGAAATAATGCAAAAAGAGAAGCGAAAGAATGAGTTCAAGACAATTTTGGAGAAGATTTCATTATTAGTAGCTTTGTAACAAAAAATAAAAAAATGTGAATCTGGTAAATCAAAGCCGTAAAGTTAATAAAATTAAAGAGATGCTGATATTCTTAATAATAAAAAAGTCTTAACATGAAAATCTGGAGACTATATACCTAAAATGTAAAAAACTGTAAAGAGAAATTTGAACTAACCTTAAAGTTACAAAATTTGGCAAAAGAGTCAATAACATATTGGGAAGGTTCAGTGGGAGGCGGTTTTTTTGTCCATCGATAATGACGCGGTATATCGGCTACACCGTCGAATCCCTTAAAAAACAACAGCAAATAAGCAGAAAAAAAAACAAAACTTCATACAACTTCTTCCTTCTACTAATTCAAAATTTGTAACTTTCCTTACGTTTACAGATCTATAAAAGAACCAAGTTTCAAACCTCTCACTAGCAGCCATAGAAACCCTCCCTAAAATGCCGAGAGAATGAGTGTAAGCAAAAAAATATTTCAAAGTACTTTTATTAATACCTTGCACAGAACTGTTACAATTAAATCACAGATTAGCTCTTCAATTTCCTTCCGCTGTTTTGCCATTATTGTTGAAAACATGGTAAGGCACTGACCAAATAGTGTGGTGTCCAACTAAAAAATCCAACTGAAACTTAGCAACAAGTTGTTTCGTTTTAAATGTTCAGCCTACGCGTGAAAAAAATTACTTCAAATTCCCGAACTTTAGACCAAATAGAAGAGAGTGCCAGTGTGAAAACACGGTTATCCAGACTAGAGCAATCAGCACATAAGCAGCACAACAGCAGCCATGTTTCAACTCCGTTAGCTGGTTCAAGCCCTTTTTCAAAGTACCTGTAACCTACATCACACAATCGTTTAACAATAAACAATGATCCCATTAAAAGACCTTCATGATTTCAGCCCAGAAAATAGATATGTAGAAATAAACGATGTTTCAAAGTTAGTTTAAAACAGAAACAACAAACCGTTTCGTAGTAAAACTACATACTTAAAACTTTAAAAGGTAGTAATATGAATTTTCCTAATAGACTTTTGAAATCAAAAAAAATACTCATCTTATAGTTACGCACATTAAAACTTATTTTTACCCAAGACATCATTAAACACTAAAGATTAACCACCTGTAAACATTACTAAGCCATTCCAAATAATTCTTGAGCATTTTTGTAGAAAAGTCCCAATATTTATCTGTCAGCGCAGAGAGAAATGAAGACTCACTCCAGAGTGTGTTTAAGGCATTATCAACTATTGCTGAACAACGAAACCAAAATGAACCATCTGCATCTAAAAAATTCATCTTTTTGGGAAATATCAGCAACTATTAATGCGCTAATAGTATACGGAAGAGTGAATTACCGTGAGGTCCGTCATCAACAATTGTTAATTTTGAAGGATCGGCAAATTCTTCGAAATCTGACAAAAACTGATGAGTTTCAAGCTTAAAATAAACCACAAGGTTAAAGCGATCTCTAATTATGCGTAAGATAGTACGTGAACGTTGTGGTTCTTCCCAGTTTAAAATAAACGAAGAAACTGTAGAATAACACTTATGAAATAGTTGACGATCGCTTGGAACTAGAACCGAACTGAAATGCTGCAAAAAAAGAAACTTTTTTGGCATATTCAAATTATAATCGCTACAACTAGTTAAAACTATTAAATTACGAAAAGTTTCAGTTGCGCTAGGCAAAAAAAAAATACTGGTCTGAGCTAAGAAATAAAAGAATGCTCAAAAGTTACAGAAAAAATTTTTTAAATTTACTAGCTAACCTGATCTAATGCAGATACTACGTAAGTAAGCAAACATTTATCCAGAAACCCCGATATACCAGAAGAACGTCCTCCAAAACTCTCCAGTTTTGTTATCCAAGACTTGCGGATCTAAATCTAGGAACATTCTTTTCTTTTTTAAAAAATTTGAAATGAACTCAACTTCCATGTGGACCAAACTCTAGAGCTCCTTCGGTATTAACACATATTAAAAAAACAAGATTTCAATTACAACCACGAAATTAATAATTGGTTAGAACCAGCCAGCTAAAGAGCGAATTTGTTTAATAATTTACTATTGCAGAATAATAATCAGCACTTCGAAAACAAAATTACGATTAAGACTCACAGAAACCGACGACACAAAATTTGTTCAAAAGCAGAAACCTGCGAGACACTTTCCAAGATATGTTCCAATAATGCGCTCAAATCACTTGAAACGTACTGAATTTTTGGATCTATGACTTCCGCCATAACGCGGCTAACTGCGAATTCCACTCCATCAACCATTGACAAAAGGCCCAAGAGTATTCTCGCACAGCGACAATCTCCTTGCAAATCTGCGACCAATAAACGTTCGCAAACTGCCCTTGCTTTCAAAACGCAAGCATCAAAAGCATCAGACCACTTAAATAAAAAAAGTGAGAGAAAAAAAGAAAACTCTAACGAGTAAAAATATGCACAAATAACGAAAACAAGCGAATTATCCTCCCTAACCTTGTCGTTGATAGGTGTAGGTAACTTCCTATACCATAGTATCAAATCGACGACTGTATCTGTAAGTTGGTTTAACCTGTAAACAATTATAACATTAAATACAGCAGGTTTTATCTGCAAAAAAAAAGAGCCTTTTTACAGCAACCGTTTTTAAAGATTACCATAACTGAGTGACAACCCTTGGCTCAGCAGAAATGCAAGCTGCAACCCGTTCTATAGCATTAATAAAGGCAATGTTAGATCGCAATTCAATCTGTCGAGCCCGGCATTTGCTAATATCTGAAGCCTGCTTCTCAACAAATTCTGCCGTAGTCATCAATTTCTTAGTATTTGAGCAAAAGTCGATCCAAATTGACTGAACAACTTAATTGAAAATTTAGAAAACTACTAGATTTGAAATGAAATTTGGTGACACTTCGTAAGCGCAAACTCTAAAACTCATTTTTTGCACAGAATGTTTATTTGTCCTTGACGATTCCAAAAAATGATAGGCTTTAAACGATACAAAAGATAAAATTTTGTAGTGTTCTCACCTCAACATCTCCTGTCAACTTATCAATTGTTTCTTTTAGCCCAACTAAACTTGATGAAAGGTTCACAAAATCTGCGTAGTCGTCATTGATCAGTTCGATCATAGAATTCTGTATAATCTTAAGGTATACGCGCAAATCATTCTGGATTTGCGACAAATTTGCGCGCCGCCGCGCAAGATTCACAAAACGGTCAACGTTGAAATCAGCCTGATTAAAATATGCCTGTAAAATCCAATTATTTTATTTGACACGGAAATCAGAGAATTTCATTTTTTTTAATTCTTTTATTGTGCCTCATTGAGCTTCCAGTGTTCATTGCTTTCTTCCTAGGCCCGAATTAAAATTCTTCCTTTGCTCAACTCGTCACTTCATAAGTGGAAATGAACGACTTTTCTACCTTGATAAAAGTCACAGACTGCAAATTTCAATGACTAGTCACAGCGCCAATGCGACTTCAATTGCAGGATGTTGAACACTACACGATCTAAAATAACAAACCTTATTGAAGCACAGTGGAGAATCATTCAGAACATTTGAAGGTGAAAACAGCGCGCGAGAAACCGCTGTACTGATTGCAGGGGTACTAGAATGCTGTGTGGACATGCAAGCTGAAAAAATCTGTTCTTTTATTATTTTGCTGAAATATAGCACGCATACAAAACTAAAGGAACGGCGATGGCGAACTATACACCGATTCATCAGATAACCTAACACGGATAACAAACTTTAGACAGAGTGGATTATTATATGGCATGACAGAGTTCTTCAAATAGTCTTCAATTCAATATTCCCTGTACAAATCTTTTGACTACATCTATGCTATCATCTTTCGTATTTGTTTAATCACTCAACCCTATAGTTAAGCAGCATCTCTGACTGCTTACACACGACAAGTCACGATAAGTCATATTCTTCTTGTTAAGCTTAGCCTTTTTGTGCCACCGTATCCACATTCATTAAATTTTAAACTGATATGTCCGCACCATCAACTGTTAGTGAAATAAGAAACAATATAGCAACATTCATGCGAATCAGCATAGTTAGCTACCATAAATTTTTGCTGGCAATCCAGGTGATTAACGACTTCTTTTTAATGAAAATATTACTACTAAACAATGTTTTGTTGATAAAGGTAAATAAATAATTTGAAAATAAGAAAACACATAACAGTTAGCAAAAGCAGTCAAAAACAAAAACCAAATAGATAAACATAGTTCCAAGATGATTACGTGCTAACAGTCACATTCACCAAAAAATTCACCAAAAAACTTTACAAGATAGCATTATCTAGCGCACCCTAGTCAACTTGGTTGATGCTGCATTACAAACGACAAGAAAAAAAAAGATAACAGGCAATTGCAAAACTGCCAACGTGGGTCACCAACCATGAATTCCGCACATTTTTCTCATCGCAATTATCAAAATTCAAACTCAAAAAAATGAAAAGTAGGAAAAAGAACGGCTCTGATGAACCTTGATTTCAGCAGTCTTATAGAGAGATGAACACTAAAAAAAGACTTGGTCGAGGACGTAAATCTATAGACATCAATACAGCACTAAAAACTATTTCAAAAATTCGACCGGAAAAGAGCGCAACGTCACTAGGAAAACACTGGTATAATTCGCTGCACCGTTAGAAGCCTTCTCAAATGGGCAGGTGGGTATGGTGAAAAAGCTCAAGAAGCAAATTCCCTAAAATGCAGCTGTGGAAAAGGCAGTTTAACGTTGTACTTACTACTCTTCTTTTAAAATATTTTCAATTTTCCACTGACTGTAACAAGTAGTCTTTTACAATAAACATAAAAGTGAATCTAAGGTCATAAATGTGCTGAATCTTCGGCGTACCGTACTCTTGGTTACATCTCAAAGTGACTCTTACAGTTTCGTGGTGTTGTAGAAGAGCAGTCCGTAATAATATCCTAATAAGTGGTCAGAAAATTATGACGAACTTTTACTGCCACATCTCCGCATTACGCATGGAGAACCAAAAAAATTTTTTTTTCCTTCGATAGCACCCAAGAAGAGACTATTATAGTCACAAGAAAACATCCGACTTAACGCTGCAAAAAACCATTAGAAAAAAAAAGTCGGATGACCCAAACATTAAAGTACTCCCATATCCCACATTCCCCAAGCTTGTCTTCTTCTAGCCACCACTTTTTCCGTACCTTTGGCGCTTACATAAAATTGAAGCACTTTCAAGTTGTCGCTATATGTGTGAATGACACGGATAAGGAAATTATATACTAACTACGTTGACACTTAGATGGTGCCAACACTGCTAGTAAACGCCAAGTGAGTTGAATGTTCGTCGAACCGGCAAACCTCCAAGTCACCGCTGTCACTTCTGCCATCATCGCCAACGTTATAAAAAATTTTAAATTTTGAACTAAAAGCCTCAGAACTGTGTGCCGTCAATAATAGCAGCTAAAAAATAACAGGACCAACCAAGTTTTCCTTACCCATATGCACTTTGTAGACAACTGCAAGACTGCTGTACAAAAGAAGTTAGGTTTTGAAGGTGTCAATCTTGGACCAGTATGTTCAGGTTATTTGCAAAGATGAGGCTTACATTAAAAAGCCAAGAAAAACCATAATATTTTTTATTGGACTTTTCATACTGTAGTTATTCAGTCAACTGAGTATAGCATCTATAAAGTATTCTGAGCCTTTTCCAGCAGGACAAATAACTAAATTCCTTCGCCTTCAGAGTATCATTTTAGTAGAAAATCGCAAGATTCAGCATGCTATCAGACATAGGTTCCTTCCCATATAAACAGCAAGTTAGTTCATGAATGACTGGTAGAATTACAAATTCTGTTTCTCAGACTCATTTAAGTTTAAGTGATATTTATAAAAAATGATGAAAATGCCCATGAAAAACCAAAAAAAACCTTAGCGTTATTGCAGTTAAGCGTATTCATCCCCCAAAATGCATTTTTTGGCGTCAGATTCCCTTCATTTTTTCTACATGGGGTTCTCAATATCGCGTAATTCATCTCTAAAAGTTTCAAATTTCTTTACGCAACTTCCGCTGTAGCAAAGTTTTAGCAGTAAGCTTTTAGAAAGCTGGCAAAAACCGCGTAAACAAATTTGAAAATATTACTTAATGAATTAAGTAGCACTTAAAACTCTGTATATTGAAAAGGAAGTTAACTTGACGGTCAAAAAGAAAAAAAAAACATGCTTGGAGGTGAATACACTTCACTGCAGTAGCGCTGATCATGCAGCTGTAGCTTAGCACAGGCATTTGGTCTCAGATTTTGCACCTTTCTCGATCAAGCTTTCAAATCTATTCTAATTCTAGTGGTGAAATGCTACATGAACTGCAGGAATAAGAATTTCCTTTAATAATTGTTTGTTATTCCCTCTCTTTCTTTCAACATGTTACAAACTTAAATTTTAAGTCTCATATATTTGCTCTGCCGGTGCTGCTTATTATTTGAGTAATAACTCTCAAAGTTAAGCAATTCAGGCTTTTTATGGAACCGTGTTTCTTTTAATATTAGAATTATATTGAATTACTTATCCTGAAACGATAAGTAAAAATATGGTTTTGAGAATTTCTTATTTAAACTAATATAAGAATGTTCAATTTCCAATTTTTGGTGTGTTATAATAAGAGTGATGTGTTGTACCTAATTTACTACCGCTGGTCACTGAAACCTTCAGAGAAGAGGGGACCTAGGACAAAAGAAAGTTTTAATTTTTAAATAAAGATGACCAAGGAAGATTTTAGGTAGAAGTGCTCATATTTACTATATGTTGGTCTTTTCAAAATCAGGAAGTACCTCAGTTCTTGAAAAATTACACTCGAGTTTCGCAAAAGTGGATGTCTCATTCTAAAGTACAGTTATTTTACTTTTCCAGGGAAACAGTTCATTAATTTGCTTAGAGTTTCAGCAGCTTTTTTAAGCTTACTGAGGAGCAACTAAGTATCAGTAAGAATAAGATGATTTACGTCTTAAACTGTCTAATAAAGCGGGATAAGTAGGCTTTTCTTCTTAAACAGGTAGAAGCAGTAATAATAATGACACAACAGTTAACAGTAGAAAAGGAGAATTTTTGTGTTGTGAAATAAGGGAGTTTAACAGAAGGTCTGTTAACCAAAAAGAAAAAACAGAAGGTTGGTCTCTTTTTTCATAGTTCGTCACAGCGCAATACCTTCCTGCTCCGGAAGGTGTTTACCACAAACTGTTTCTAATTGCAGTCACCGTTTTATGAGGTAAAAAACACTTCGCTTTATAACCATTGTCTATTTTATTCATTTTACTCTCAAATCCCATCAGAAAAAAGACACTCGTTTCCTTATATTTTTTCACTAACACCGGCTTGTTGAGATTACAGCAAAAAATACACAGATAAACCTAAATTTAAGCAATAGCAGGGTTGAAGAGCTGAAGCAAATTGAACAAATTGTGGAAAAAAAATTCCTCTTTTAAAATTTCCGTTTGTAATTGGAAAATGCAAACGAGCAATTTCCTAATTAATAAACTTTATATAATTTTTTAGCTTTTTTTCTCTAAAAATTTACACCACTCTATAGTTTTTTTTTAAAAAAATATCTCTTTTTTTAGTAGTATCGACTTATACGTTACTTTTAAATGACAACTTCCTGAACTGACTGTTCTTTCTAGAATCTGCCGCTGCAGAATCAGAAATAAAGAAAAATCACCGCTTATTAACAGATTAATTTGTAACACCCATAAAACCATAATATTTCAATGTAGCATATTCACGTTTTTCTTCAGTTATAAAACTAAATTCCCAAAGATTGGATTGAACAGCAATTCTCTTTAGGATGCTGGAACTTTCCTTACTGTTACAATTCTTATAGCCTATTTTTAGTTCATACTTCATTTTGTCTTCTACGTTGTCATTTTTTCAGCGATACTCTCACTGAAGGTCTACCCTGAGAATTACATTACACCTGCAAGTTTTTCATTTATGTCTCGTAATAAAAAAAAAAATTTTTTCTGTTACGGTGTAAAACTAATAAAGCTGTATTTCAGGAAACAGGTAAGCTGCTACACAAACTGATTTTTGCTGTTTGTTCTTCTGCTCGCTATCCGGTCTTGAGATCAAGATAAAGAAAATTTTGTACTTGAATTCTCTTAAACACTTTGTTATATTTTAAGAAAAGAGTTCCAGGTATCTGCATCGATCACCTGCTAAGGTTAATCGTCTAAAGGACAGCCCACTGCATTCG